GTCTTTATAACCCAGAACTCACCCAGTTTTTGGTCATTAGTGTCAACATATTAAATCTCTTTTTGAGATGGTTTCTAAATCCAAGTGGGATATCACATGTTTCTGCAAATAATGATTAAGTTACATGTTTTTGCAAGCCACACAACCCCCTTGTGCATTAGCTTCCCAGTTTGTATTGTGTGCATGACACACTAGATGCAGGAAATATTGTGCTTAGGATTACACCTTGTCTCTCATGAACTTACTTTAATATTCTTCAGTTTCAACTAGAACTTGCAGTTGAGGGGCTGTTAGCTTGCAGTTAGCTCCTGACCTTGAAACTGATATTGGGCTGCTTCCCATGGTCTTTCTACAGATGTAGTCAATTCGCTCCCTCTGTATTCCATCTGGGGAGGTCCCCAGGTATCAAAAACTCCCGCCATTGAGTTGATTTCAACTCAGGGCATCCATGTTTTGTCTCAGTTCACGCCCTCTATTTTACGTCGCCAGGATTCATTGCCGTGCCTACACCCAACTCACAGACAGCATTCCCGATTAAAGGGCTTAAGAAGGAGGTTATCAAGTTGTGACGCGGGTGAGAAATGTGCAGGGTAGAGTTGTTTTCAGGACATATCACAACATATTTTATCAGGTCTGCTAATAAATGCCCAAAGGGGCCTACCACTCTGCTATCAGCTGCCGCCCAGAGGCACTCAGCTCAGGCTCAGTGGGTCAGCCAACCCAGCTCCCTGAATCAGTGCCCGAGGCGCCCACGCCGGTAGGACTCAGCCTGAAGGCACTCAGCTCCACTTCGGTGGGTCAGCAAGCCCACCTTTCACTATTAGGTGTCCAGAGGGACACACGCCTGTCTCCTGCCCGGATGTGCTTGGCTTTACTTGCTCCGTGGGTTGGGAAGTCCATCTCTCTGTTCCATGCCCTGGCTCCTGGTTCGACTGCTGCTCCTCTGAAGGTGCAGCTGCCCTCTGTACCCAGGAGGTGCACTGCGCAGGGGTCTCAGGCCCAGAGGATGCACTCCATTCTTGTTCTTGCTGCTAATAAGATCCCTCCTGCTTCTCACAGGGTTCATTTTATACACAGCAAGATGCTTCTCCAGGGAATCCTGTTGGCAATTATTCACAGGTAAATTCTAGTAGTATCTTCCCCCCAACTTCTTATTAGATCCTTGCAGAGAAAGGTCATTTGGTAGGAGTAGAGACTTTGGCTAGAAAAACCATATTAAATGATTCATTGCACCTGCAGTAGGTCAGAGTAGCACTTGCCTCTGGGCTCTCAAGAGTAGAACTTTGTACTGGAACAGACAGCCTCATCTTTCTCCCTAGTTGCAGCTTTTGAATTTGAACTGCTAACTTGTAGTTAGCAGTCCAGCACATAACTCACTAGGGCCAGCAGGCCTTCTTATATAGTCACAGTTATGTTCTTAGAAAAAAATGTATTCCCAGTGATTACATTTTTGGACTTAGAAAATTCTGTCATGTTATCTCGTGTCATTTCTGTCACCAAGACCACATTTTCCAACTCCAATCTTTATTCCTGCCTTTCACATTCAATCACTAATAATTATCAGTGCATCTTGATGGTATGTTTGATAAATCTCAACTGCAGAAGGTGCCAAGAATCGTCCACTTCCCTATCTTGGGCATTAATAATGGTCAGTGCATAAATTTGAATTATAGTTATAATAACTGATGCTCCTTGTATGTGTAAGGGTATTACCCTATCACTGACAGCTTTGTGTTTCAGGATGGACCTTGAAAGGCCTTTCCTAGATTCCTAATGTGTCTATCACATTCTGACGATTGCTGGATTTTTGTGGCTTCTCATTTTGAGTCCTGCCACACCAGCGAATGAAGGATTCAAAAACTTCTTTGACGAGGCAGCACTTCCATAGTTGTATTTTGAATGCCTTCCACACTGGGGAGCTCAGCTTCCCACACTACGCTGGACAGTGTTCCGCTGCTACGCATCGCTGGGTCGTTTTTATAGTTTTAGTCTGGGAGCATCACGGAGACCTGTCCACTCTGGGTGACCCTTCTGGTATTGCAAGTACTAGTGTCAGAGCCTCCTCTATCACAGCAACACGCAAAGCACCAGAGTACACCGCACTGACAGCTGAACGAGGTTGGGGTGGGGTTACTTCATGGGTGTTATATAGGGGGCTTCAAAATGTTTGTGATGGGAAGAAAAGATCATAGAGTTTGTGAGCTTTCTGAAACCCCACTGCAATATTTTAGGCAGAACAAAATCATTGAGACCGGGAGCTTGAACAGAGCCAGCTGCCCAGCATCCTTTCCAGTGTATAAGTTGCTGCATGTACCCACACTGCCTGTAGAACGAGGAGTGGTGGCCACAGTAAGCAGGGCACAGGGAGAGGAATGAGCGAAAGTCGGAGGTTGTGAGCGTGCCTACGTTTCCAGTCACTTTAGATCTCTAGTTAGCTGGCTCCTGGCTCTCCCATGCCAGTCTAACTACAGGGGGCATTTAGAATAGTCGTGCTCAGCATTATGCTCAGCACAGTATTGGGACATCTGTGACACGGTTTCTGCCTAAAAGCAGCTTATAGCCAGCTGGGAAGATGGAAATGGAACACACCGAGTGACCATGAATGAGCACGGAGCATGAAATTGAGAGGGAGAGAGTATATGGTGTCAACAATGCAAGCCGGAGGGCCAAGAGGCAAAAACAACCACCTCCGGGGTGGGGTAGCTTACGGCTTCCTGGAATGTGAGCATATCCTGATGTTGAATGGACAGTCGGTGTAACGTTGACACTGGGATTCAGAAATGAAGCTGTTCATTCCCTTTACCGCTCACTGCCATGGCTCTATTCCAGGTCACAGTCTGGGAAAATGTTGACTGGGAAAGTCTTTGCAAGCCCCAGCGCCTCCAGGATTTCACTGTAGGTCTGCGGCACCTAGCAACCCGGGGGCCACTGCTGTGTCAAGGGTGGCTGGAACTCCCCTAAGGAGAGGAAGGCCTTCTGGGGTCAGCCCGGGTCTGGAACTTGAGGCATGGGGGAGGTTACATTCTACTCCGGGGATTCTTTTGTCCTTCTCTTCCTTTCCTGGAGGCACAGAGACGGTGGAGTCAGAGAGAAAGCCAGAGAAGCAGCAGTGTTTCATAAACGCCTTAGAGCTCTGTCTGTCTGACGGAGACCAAAAGGAGCATTGCCCCACCTCCTTCTGGGGTTCATGCTAATGGGAGTGGCAGGAATTGGGGAGACTCCCTAAGGAGAAGCTGGGCCTTATAGAGACAGCATGCGGGCCTAGTGTCCCCCTCTCTGCTTGCGCTTCCTCTGCTGTACTGTGATTTGTAATGAGGGCAGCCTAGTGTGCCACCATTCCTCAGTCTGCACTGCCTGCATCGGAACGAGCTAGCAGTTGAGTTAGTTCAAGGGCAGATTTCTGAGCTTAGCGCAGCCTTCCTCAGTCAGGATCTTTAGGGGAAAGGGCTACAGAAATCCTCCTGTGGATGCATATTAAAAATGGAGAGCCTACTGTTTTTCATTCAGTTGTCTTCAACACATGTGTTTTACACGGGGTACATGTTGGGCTGCTAACCACAGAGTCAGTAGTTCGATGCCACCAGCCTGTCCTCAGGAGATAAATGAGGGTGTCTGCAACCCTAAAGAGTTACGGTCTCAGAAACGTTCCGGAGCAGTTCTACCCTGCCCTGTAGGGTCACTGTGGGTTTAAGCATGCCCTTCAGTTAATCCCAGATGTGTTTATCGGCCAGGCTGGCACAGTAGGCATTAGAGATACTGGACCAGGGAGACACAAAATAGCTTTAGCGGGCGTGGAGCTTACGTTCAAGGGGAGTCTGCATTTTCATCCAGAGACTGTTAGGGGAAGAGGTGGACTCGACAGTTGGATCGGTCAGGCAAAGGCCATTGTGTGATGGCAGATGCGACAACAACAAAAGGGCGTCCAGCTCTTCATTGAAATAGTGACTGGGCTCTTGAAAGCCTGTTTTCAAACAAGCAGCCATCTAAGCAGGCATCAGCTAAGTCCACACGGAAGAAGCACACCAGCCTGTGTGACCCAAAGATACCCATAACAAAATCCAAATATGATGAAGGGAAAAGTGAAGTTGTGAACACACAGTTTGTAGATGTGTCTGGAAGACAGTCGGGCCCAGAATCCCTCTGCACACGAGCCCGACGGATGAAGTCTCTGGTGGACCTGTCAGGCTGCAGGCAGGGCCGCGACCAGCTTCACCAGCAGACAGCGATGCTTGTCAACTGGATGATGCACATTGAACTACGGGGGAATATGACCCTTGGTCAGTTGACCTCCCTCTTGACCCAACCTGAGTTTGCTCTAGGCTCTCACTTGTTCCGTGACAGAAATTTCTTCTCTGGCCTTTTAAATAGTGCTGATGGTTTCTTTTTCCTAACTTTATTTGTATTTTACATGATACGGCTTTCTTCTTGCCATGTTTTGATTTTGTGTTTCATTGTTTCTGTTGGGTTACGCGGTTTGTGACGCTCAGGAGTGGGTGCATGGAGACAGTAACTGAAGCCGTGGTTTATCAGGGACTGGTTGGGAGGTAGGGGCGAGGGGAGCCCACCATGCGGGAGGGAGAGGGAGCATTGGAACTGAGTGCGGTGGTGCATGTACGATTTTTAAAAGTGACTTAGCCATGGAAGTGTATGATATGTGAATACTATATCAAGAACACTACTTTAAAAATGCTCTCACATGGATTGTATTTCTCCTTGATGTGGCTGAACTATCGAATTGTATGTTGTGTGGATTATGTGCCAGTGAAACTGTTTAAAAAGAAAGAAAGGGCATCTGGACCACATCCAAGAGCTGGGGTGGAGTATGGGTTTTGAGTTGAGCTAACTGCCAGGTCAGTGGTTCAAATCCACCAGCTGTTTGGGGGAGAGAGATGAGGCTTTATGCTCCCCTAGAGATTGACAGCCTCCAAAACCACAGTAGCAGTTCTGCTCTGTCCTGTGGGTCACAGTGAGTCAAAAGTGACTCGGTGGAGTGTACTTCTGTTTAGACGCAGACGCAGAATGTGTCGAGTGGCCAGAATGTGGACTCGGGAGGCAGCTGGACACGGGCTCCCTGCATCACCAGTGCAGCCTGAGGCGTGTCAGGTAATGTCTCTGAGGCCAAGAGCGCTGCCGGCCTCCTGCGGCCGTGTTGGTGATTCATTGACAGAATGTAAGCGAGCCCCTTGGTGTGGTGCTTGGTCTAGAAACCAAGCCCAGGACCGCTGCCCATTCCACTGGGGCAGCGCTGCACAGGGCTCGGGCTGTAAATCTACAGAAACAGGCTCATCTTCCTCTTGTTTTCCTAACCCTCGACCTTGGGGTTAACAGCCCGGCACCTAACCCATTGTGCCACTAGGACGCCTTGCTGTAGGTGTCCGAGACGGCGACTCTACGGGAATAGAGAATCCTTTTCCTTCCGTAGCTGTTGGTTTTGAACTGCTGATCTTGAAGTTAGCAGTCTAGCATCGAAGCCCTACACCACCAGGGCGCCTTGCTTGACATCTAGCGAGTGTGAACTTGAAAACTCGGAGGGTTGTTATCCCCGTTTTTGCCAGAGAGGATGTTCAGGAGTCAAGGGCCAAGCTGTTTGGCTGAACCCTGCAGTTGGTGGGTGGTGGGCAGCGGAGTTTAGATTTGAACTCGGGTTCCTCTCCAAAGCCGCCTCTGTGAACCTGGGCTCCGCTGCCTCCCGCAGGACTAATCCCTGCTGGGCGGGCCTGCTCGGAGGCTTCCTGAGAAACAGGCAGTGCGGGCACATTCTGCACCTGTTCCTTCTCCCTTCCCATGAGCTGCGTCCAGGGATTCGTGACAGTGCTGCTCCACCCTGGCGGGAAAAGGGCAGGGTTTGCAGGGCTCATGGCCAGCGGCCTGCTGGCTCTCGGCAGCTGTCTGCCCCCGTGGGGCTCCGGCAGCAGAAGCCTTGCAGCTGTGGGGTCCTTCTCTCTAGGGTAAGGCCATGCCACCTCCTGGGAAAGCGGCCCGGAAGGAGAACCTGGGCCTGCAGTGTGAGTGGGGGTCCTGCTCCTTTGTGTGCTCGGCTATGGAGGAGTTCTGTGAGCATGTCACGCAGCACCTGCAGCAGCACCTGCACAGCGCCGAGGAGAAGGAGGAGGAGGAAGACCCCCTTGGTAAGAGCCGAAACAGCTATTGGGCAAGGTGCCTCCCTGCCCAGAGTGAGGGGCAGGCTGGGACAATGGTCGTGGTTTCTTTTCTTGTATTGCTTGTTTTTCAAGACATTGTAGAAAAGAGCCAGACTGTAAGGAATGAATCTGTTAGCCTGCCATTAAGAGATAGTTCACTCCTGTCCTGTAGCGCACAATATGTTTAGCCTCTTTCTGCATGTGTATATATGTCTTTGTAAAAACGGCTAGAGAGGCAGCCTGCTTTTTTTGATAGTGTTTCCCAATTCATTTTAAATTGACTCCCTTTAGGGATACCTTGTACATCACACTGATACCGTGTATATAAAAGTTACAGGAAAAAATGTTTGAATCCCCCACCCCCAGCAGTCCTGGGGCTTTGGGGCTCGGCTCAAGGGGAGTCCCTCTGGGACATGGGGGTTCAGTGAATGGTGTGACCCGTTGCTGGGCATGCCTACACAGTAGTGTACGCTGGGCCCCTCTAGGGTTTCCCGTGTGGGCTCCAATAAATCTCTTCCCTTTTGCTTAAAAGAAAGAAACAAACAAACCTTGAATCAATACTTACTACATGCTCACTGCAATGTTCTGTTGTCCTTCAGTAAAGTAAAGGTGGTTTGCAGAGCCACAGGTGGGCCACAGCCCCTGGCTTGAGAAACTGCCCTGTAGTAAGTATAAAAGTAGCTCTCCTCAAACGGGGACAGAACTCAAAATCAGCCCAGAAACCAACCCAGGCTTCTGGGCCTCATAGAGCACGGTGGGACCCCAAGACCGTGGCCCTTACCTTCAGGTCTGGCACCTCTGTGTTAGAATAACCAACCCTGTGAAGTCCCCAGTGACAACGCTCCCAGGGTTAGGAAAGAAGGAGGATGCACACGGGCAGTATCAGGTGGAAGTGGGCTCAGTGAGGGTGCCCTGCGGGAGCTGTTGGGGCTGGAATCAGAATGTGTGTGGGTTGTTGAGGGTAAGACTGTGCTCTGTAAACCTTCACCTAATTCACAATTTTAAAAACGGGCGGGTGGGGGGGGTGGAGGTGTAGGAGTTGGGTGAGGAGAATTATGACCCCCCCCCCAAGTAACTCTCCTTTCCCTACTCTTAATTCTACTTGCAGTGTGGTGAATATGAAAAGTCAAGTAATGCTGCAAAAGAGAAAGGATTTTATGCACACACACACACACACACACACACACACACACACACACGAGTTTTAAAGTGCCAGCTTTTGAGAACGGGTCAGACAGCCCTGTCAAACATGGAAATCGGCAGTGGAGAGAGAGGAAGGGGGTTCGAATAGGCCTGGGGAAGGAGTGGGAAGTGTGCCAGGTGGGGTGGCAGTGCCTCCTAAGCACTGTGAGCCCAAGCATATCAGCCCCACTTGCTGTCACAGGTCTCCTGTCCCTGCCCTTTGCCCACACTAGCCCTCTCCCACCTTCACCTAGTTTACAACAACTTGTCCTGCACATGTCAGCACAGGGCCAGTGTGTCTCGGACCCTTCTGTGTGTGCGCGCGCACATCAGATTACATCGTCATGCACTCCCTCTTCCTAGCCCGATCCAGTTTCACAGTTACCAATGGATTAGTGGATTAGTCTTCCTCCATGCCTAAAGCTAGGTGAGGTAAGAAGCAAGGACTCCTGGATCATCGGTCTGCCCCTGTGCCTGGCCCATCATTTAACAGCAGTCTAGGACGGTGGTCAGAGGCAGGCCCCGCAGGTGGAGGGCAAACTGACTGGGGAAGGTGTCATATCTCCCTTCTCAACCTTTTTCTGCAGAGGAAGAGTTCTCTTGCCTGTGGCAGGAATGTGACTTCTGTTCCATAGACAATTCTGTGGACCTCATCCGCCATGTCTACTTCCACTGCTACCACACCAAGCTGAAACAGTGGGGGCTGCAGGCCTTGCAAACCCGGGCTGACCTCAGCCCCTGCATCCTGGACTTGCAGAGCCGGAATGTTGTCCCTGACATCCCCGACCATTTCCTGTGTCTGTGGGAGCACTGTGAGGTCAGCAGGCAGAGCCAGTAATAGGGTTGGGGGGTGGTGGTGTTCTTAACTCACGATGCCTGTACCCTTTCAGGGTTGCCTCTGTTCCCTAGAGTCCTGCTAGCGCCTCTCCTCTGTTTCTCTAGCCCCCTCCCTCAAACGTTCCCCTCCCCACCAAGTTAATTTGGGAGAGAGCCATGCAGCCCCTTTGGACACACAGGGCCGAGTCTCTCTAGCTGCCCTCAGTCCTCACCCCATGTTGCCCTGGCGCAGAGCTCCTTCGACAACCCCGAGTGGTTCTATCGCCACGTGGAGGCGCACAGCCTGTGCTGTGAATACCGCGCTGCTGGCAAGGACAACCACGTGGTGCTGTGTGGCTGGCAAGGTAGGGCTGCTGTGAGCTTCCAGCTTCTCTGAGCCTGGTGGGGGAGGGGGACTGGGGCAGCCAGGGGAAGACCAGTTCTGAAGGGCATAGAGAGCCTTGGGGGTCCCAGGGCTGCCTCTGGGAGAGTGTTACCGAAACCTGCCTGGGCCTTCCTTCCCAGGGTGTACCTGCACCTTCAAGGACCGCTGCAAGCTTCGAGAGCACCTGCGCAGCCACACCCAGGAGAAGGTGGTGGCTTGTCCCACCTGTGGGGGCATGTTCGCCAACAACACGAAGTTCTTGGACCACATCCGCCGGCAGACCTCATTGGAGCGTAAGTCAGCGGTTGCAGAAGAAGGGCTGCAGGTGCAGCCTGTGTGGGTTGAGGGGGGCAATGGGGCGGCCTATTCCAGGATGTGTGTGTATGTCACTTGACTGCATCTGCCTTGAAGGCTCAGCTCCTACCCCCACGGTCTCTGCTGACTCACGGAAGCCCTTTATCCAGTTACTGCTCTGTGCCACCTCAGTTATCCTGGCAGCAGTCCCGTGAGGTATAGCTGTTTTGCAGATGAGGGAACTTCAGAGAGGTTATGTCACTTACCTCGTATCATGCAGTTGTTAAGTGCTGAAGCCGGGTTTAGGACTCAGGTTCCTGTCTCTGAAGTTCTGTGCTCCTTCCGTAATTCTGCTTTGGTCCTTAGCTCTCTGACTTCCGTTTTCCTCCTCCGGGTGTTTCCCTGCTGCATGGGCTGGGTGTACCCTCCCTGACTCTCCTCTCTGGGCTTCCCCAGCAGCCCCTTCAGCGCACGCTCTTGTCTGTCCCCCGTCCCCCCTCCGCCCCCAGAGCAACGTTTCCAGTGCTCTCACTGTTCCAAGAGGTTCGCCACAGAGCGGCTGCTGCGGGACCACATGCGCAACCATGGTGAGTGCACGTGCCCGCTGCCCACTGCCCGCCCCCATAGGGCCTCGCCCGCC